GCCGCTTTGCTGTATCTTACAGGTCCTCATGCCCAAGAGAGCCTCGAGTTAGTTGCCGCTCAGGATGTTACGGGGTCTAGGAGGTCCAAGGGGCCAAAGTGTTCCAGTGCAGGAAATGTTTGTCTGTTGCTAGGACGGATGCGAATCTAGTTAGATTGTTATAGGGGGCCACATGCGAACCTTACCCCTACTCCCCACGATTTCTGAGGGGGAGGGGGGAGGGTGGGGTTCACTTCGCTCGAGAGCTCCCGAACGAAGTGAACCCACCCCTCCCCTATCAGGACTCGTGGGGGGTAGGGCGCCCCCTGCAACCCGACCCCTCAGCAGCGTTGGATGGTGTCTCGGGATCAGGCTTTGCAGCAGGCTTTGCCCTCGCCGTCAGAGGCTGCCAGGATGGCCCGGCAGAGGGCCCAAGACACCGGAGATGCAGGTGCGCGCTCGGGTGCGGGGCTGCCTGCTCACAGCGAATCGTCAGTGCCGCCTTCTGATGGGATCGTCGAGCTCCGTGAGTACCAGGTTCGGGTGTCCTCGGGCGCCATGGGGTGCACCTCGTGCGACTCCTATCCTTTTCGTCCTCCTCCTCCTCCTCCTCCTCCTCCTCCTCCTCCTCCTCCTCCTCTCTCACGGGGGGGCGTCGCGAGAGCGCGAAGTTTTTTTTCGCGCCTCATGCAGCGCGAAGCGCGAACGTAGCTGCCCTTGATCCCAGCAAGAACGCCCACCCCCTTGCTGCAAGCGGCACGGCACTGCTACACACAGGCGAGATTCCGGTGGCGCTCGTACGTCCTCCTCCCCCCCCTTGCGCCTGTCCGAGGTGGGAATTTATATATGACCACCGCCTGGAGGGTCAGTTTTCGGAGCCTCGGCAGGCGGTGGATATGGACATATTCGGGCCCCCAGGGGCCGAACTATACCCATATCCACCGCCCGATGGGGCACCAGGACGTCGGTTCCCAGGCGGTGGATATGAATGAATCCCCGCCTCGCAGCCTGTGCCCAGGACTCCTCACGGCGCTGATCGGAGACTTGGCGGAGATGCTAGGCTGCGTGCGTGTTTGTGTGCTCTTCTCTCGGGGCCGTGGGGGGAGCGAGCGGGGGCAAGAGTCGGAGCAGGCTCTTCTGGGAGGAGCTCGCAGGCGGGAGAGAATGAATGCAACGTGAGCACGCTGCCTTGGTGCCCGGCGTTCGCTCTGGGCGCACTTAACTTCTTCCCGCCTCTCGTGCAGGCGGCCACTGTAAGGTTGAGTGGTCTCCGTTTGTGGGGCCTCTCCGAGCAATGGACCGAGAGTTTCCTGCCGCTGCTGGCAAGCCCCCCACCACCACCCCGGTTTGCAACGCGGGGGGGGGTAAAACAGCTTCCCACTCAAGACCGGGGGGGGGAGAGGGCCCCCTTTCAGCCTTCCCCCGGCAGCAGACCTGCGGGGGGAGGCTCCATGACAGTTCGACCCAGCCCTAGTAGTGTTTGATTAGAGCTGGATCTGGCCTTGTTCGGATTCTATTGAACCTGGTCAAAGTAGGATCTCATAAGAGGTAAATCTAGCACTCGCATGATCCTAATAGAGCTGGATCCAGCCAAGAGTAGGATCCTGTCAAAGATGGATCGAGGCCTAGTCGGGTTCGATACCTAGTAACAGGATTCGGTTAGAGCTGGATCGAGTCTTTGCAGGAGTCTATACGAGCTGGAGTCAGCCCCAAAAGGTCTCTATCAGAGCTGGATCGAGCCTTCTGTGGGATTTTATTAGTGCCTAAGCTTGATCGAGCCCAAGTGAGAGTTTGCTCGAGCTTGATCCAGCCTTGGTGCGTGGTTTCGATAAACGCCCGTTCGACCCAGCCGCCCACATACTCCACCGGTTGCCCCCCTCCTGTTCTCAGAGAAGCGGGGGGGGAGAAATTCCCCCCCTTCCCCCCCTCCCTCGTTTTCCCTGAGGGGGGATCGAGTTCGCCAGTCAGGCGACGGTAGATCGCGCTCCCCCGAACACTGAGACACCGATCCCGGAGCCGTGGCCATGCTCCCGGCGCGCAGGCGCCAGAAAAAGCGAGCCCTCTTGGGGGGCCGTGGCGCGCCTCGCTGTTTGGCGTCCGCGCTGCCGTTGCCCGCGCGAGCGCGGGCGCGGGCGAGACCCGCGTCGCCGAGGACACATGCCAGGCCGACGAGCAAGGCGGGCGTGTCCCTCTACAGGAGGAAGAATCAAAAATGGGACGATGTTTCGACTATTGTTGTTTTTGAATATGTTCTGACTATTTCTGATTTTTCGCCCGAAATTCGCCTGTAGGAGGACACGCCCCACCTAAGCCAAAATCGTCAAACATTGGCCAAGATCGGCCTGTAGGGGGACAGGCCCGACCTAAGGATGGCCTCGTGGCGCCGTCTTTGGGCAGGTCGACATGGCGTTCGACACGATTTGAAAGCCCTGGAGTCCCCTTTGGGCGTTCTTCGAGGCTTCTCGGGGCAGTTTGACAGCGTTCGTGGGGCGCCTCGAAGGCTCCTGGGAGGCCTTTTGCTCGTCTGTGGGCGCTCTTGGGCCGTCTGTCGCTTTCGGAGTCCATTCCGGGGGGCCTCTTTGGGTCGTTTGGAGGCCTCCTTGCGGACCTGACCTGAGGGCCGTCTCAGGACCCCCAAGGGCCGAGTTGAAGTCCTTGGACCCCTTTTCGGGCCAGCTTGGAACCTTCTTGGGCCGTCTTGGGGCCCGCGGCGGACCGCTGGCAGGCGGCCGCGTCAGTGCGCCTCCCTGCTCAGGCTCTCAGGCTTTTGCCTAAAATGGGCCTCCGGCCACGGAGCTGCGGACGGCTGTCGGCCCAGCTAGCGGCGGGGCGTCCAGCCGCCTAGCTGCGGCAGGCTAGCTGCAGGCGGGGCGTCCGGCCACTTGGCTGCGGCCGGCTTTCGGCCTTCCTCCGCACCTCCCTCAGGCGCGTTGAAGTCGGCCAACGCTCCTGTCAGGCAATTGGGTTAGCACCCGCGCTACTTGCAGACGCTTTATATGTTGGCCAGACTATCTCGAACTGCCGACCTCATTGGTCCGAGAAGTGTCTTCTTTCCCGTGGGTGCTCTTTACGGCCCCCCTGGTCCGGGCTAGTCGGTGGTCATGCTCGCCCCAACCCTGCGACCCGCGGGTGATATTTTTGGCCCCATTGCTGCGGACCCGCGGGTCGGCTTCGTGATCTACAGGGTTCTCTTCTCTCTGAGCAGAAGCAGTGCGACCGAATGCCCTCGAAAACGGTCCTCTCAAGCTCGCGGCTTGCGCGGGCGCTCACAGGGGCGAGGTGGCGCTCGGGGCTCGGACAGGCGGCGTTGGTGGCGCGCGCGGGTAACGGCTGAACTCGCAAAGATGGTTCTGGTCGCGGCTGAGGGGGGGCTTATCAGAAGACTCCGTGGCATGACAATTGGCTGCGCGATGCCGTTGTTGGAGCATTCGGGGGGGGGGCGATGCAGGAAAATTGTGCTACTCCCCTGACGGGGGGAAATCGCCGCCCCTCTCTGGGTAGTTGCAAGGCTGGCGTTTTCTGCCCTCGCGATTTTTAATACTGTCGCCTGGATGATCTTAGCTGCTCCTGAGGATATGCTAGCCCCTGATGTTCTCGAGTTCCCCGAAGACCACCTCAGTCAGAGCATATCAGGACATGATCCGCGGCGTTGGGTGCGTTCCCAAACATCTAATCCTTACAGTCCTCCCACGCCCCTTCCTGCTCTCTATCTTAGCAGCCCTTGCACACCATTGCATAATCCCGCGCAGCTCTTGCGCGCCCAATCACATGAGTTGAATCACTTCGGGCTCCTTCCCAACTCGCGTCTGCGACCCAGCGTGACGAGGAAGGGCAGTGATCGGGCCAGGATGCAATTAACATGTTCGGCTGACGCCCCTGATCAAGAAGCCCATCCCCTGAGAAAAACATGTCCTGGCGAAAGACCCAACCATGTACTCCGGATTCCATAACAAAGGGAGGTGGGTCACATGGGGGGGAGTCTGATTCGAGCTGTCTTGGAGGGCTCGAAGGGGGTCTGGGCAAAGGGCCGCCCTTTCATGGATGGTCTGGGGGGGTCTAACATTTCTCGTCTGGGAGGGTTGTGACCCCCTCCGTTTTATCGCGAAATCTGGAGTACAGTTATGAGTAAACGCCTTCGGTGGAGCTTCCTACGGGGCGACGAGATGTGAGAAAGGAGCGCCAGAATGCGTCGGGGCCGCCATGCGGGCGCTGCCGCTGGGCCGCCCGCAGGGGGCGCAGAGGTCAGACGGTACGGGTCACATGCTGGCGTAACCCGTTGCGGTTGACAGGCGCCGGGAGAAGCGTCGCAGGCCTAGAGGTTGACACCAACACCAATTCCAATTTCGGCGGTGTGCCTCCAACGAGGGAAGAAGATCCCGATCTCGGTGATGGTGGTAATATTCTGGCTTCCAAGGTGGCCGAAATATTGCCACCAACACCGAAATCTAGGATCGTCCTCCCCATGTGGAGGCAACCCCCTGTGTTGGTGTTGGTGCCCATTTCTAGGCCTCTGAAGGCGGGGCAATTTATGCGAGCGCGGTATCGAACGCAGTCATTCGGGCCGTAGGTGGAGCTCCGTATGGGGCCACGAAACGTGTGTGAAGTGTGTGCCAAGGTGGGGTGGGGGGGGTCGGCATGCCGCGGCGGAGCTCCTTATGGGTCCGCGGAACGTGTGATGGGTGTGCCCAAGTGAGAGGGGGGGCGACCTGCGAACAGCATGCGAACGCAGCCACTGGGGTTTTCGGTGGAGCTCCCCGTGAGGCCACGAAACGTGTGAGAGGTGCGCCAAAATGAGGGGGTGGCGGCATGCGAACGCAGCCATTGGGGCCTCCGGTGGAGCTCCTTCTGCGTCCACGAAGCATTCGAGGGATGTGCCATAGTGAGGGGGGCGGCGGCGTGCAAACGCAGCCGGTGGGACTTTCGGTGCAGCTCCTTGTGGGGCCACGAAGCGTGTGAGGGGTGTGCCACAGTCAGGCGTGGCGGCAGGCGAACGCAGCCAGTGGGGCCTTCGTTGGAGGGGTGTGGTCGCAGTCACCGGGGCCTTCGGTGGAGCTTGCGGCCACGAAGCGTCCGAGGGGTGTGCCACTGTGACGGGGTGTCGGCATGCAAACGCAGCCGCTGGGATTTTCGGTGTAGCTATCTATGGGGCCACGAAGCGTGTGAGGGGTATGCAAAAATGAGGGGGGTGACTGGAGGAAGGAAGAGCGGGATGAGGAGAAGGAGGAGAGGAGAGGAGAGAGGAGAGGAGAGGAGAGGGGAGGAGTGGAGAGGAGTGGACGCCGGGACTGTCTCTTCAAAGCGAGGACAGAACTCCACAGGATGCTAGGGAACAATTCACTTGGCTTCCCAGCTCAGATTTCCGACTCGGGCTTTTGTTGCCGCGTTCCCGCTGTAACATTTGGCGATCAAGTTTGACGATCGCGAGGCTTTTGAGGGAGGCGCATCTGCTTCCCAGCCGGGCGTTCTTCCTGAGCGGCCCCGCAAAAGCCGTGCCGAACGAGCCCGTCCGCGAGGACATCCAGGACTGACAGGTCCAGCCAACTTCGACCTGACAGGTCCAGCCAGCTTCGCGCCGAACGGACCTGTGAATCACCTCCTGGACGACTTCCCTCGTGACGCCCGCACGTAGCGTTTGCTGGCAATCCGTGATCACGAGCCTCGCGAGAGGCATCTACACGGCAGGTTCGCGCCGTGCCGACTCGCTGCGACCCCGCCGCGAGCGTTCGAGATCGAGCGCCGCCAGTGGCCCAAAGTCGCCCATCATGGAACGATTTGGCCATCGGAACAGCGCTGGTGCTCAAGGTTGGCCGCTGTCGGCGACCCAGAATCGGTCGATGTTGAAGGATCTGACGTTTCGGAAATGGCCGATCGTTCCAGGTTCAACGACCCCTGCGGTGTCGGGAACCAGCGCCGAAGTCGGCACGACACGAGTCTGCCGTGCCTTCGCAGCCGGGCGTTTTGCAGGCGAGGTCCCACCAAGTTCCTCCCGAGCGGGCCTGCGAAACGCCCTAACTGTGGTCGGCCGCTGCCGAGTGTTGTGCTTGCTGGCGCTTGTCGGCGGCGGAAGCCGGGCCCTGCCATCGCCGATCCACGATTCTGGCAGCACGTGGAGAAAAATTGAGCCCTACCCCCGGCTCCCATCGATTCAAGAGGATCGATGGTTGGTGGGAGGTGGGTTCGGATGTCGCCGCATAGCTTGGTGGTCATAGCATCCTTGAGAGGGGCTCAGACAGACAGACACACATCATCGTCGGTTCCCAGGAGATAGCAGAAACATGGTAAGTGGAGGGGAAGACTAACCTCCATAAAATATGGCAAACTGTAAAGAACATGGGAAATATGGAAAATGGGCCCAGGGACCCACAAATAACTTGTGTCTATTTCTTCGTGTGTCCCTGGGTCTCTTCAATAACACCCTCGAGATGGGGCTCATGTTTTCCCCGCGCCCCCTCCCCGTCTTCCCTCCCTGTTGGCATGGCAGTTGTGGGTTGCCAGCCATCCTCGAAGAGAACCGTCCCGGCCCCCGCACACACATCTCGAGTAGGGGATCGACTGCATAATACATTGACCTCAAGGTTGAAAGGTTTGCCAAATCGGCGAAGAAGGTAAAACATGTTCGTAGATCTGCGAACATCCGATGGTTGTTCTTCGAAGAAGCAACCAGCTTTGGGGTCAACCAATTCTGTAGTCGCTCCCCTACTAGAACATCCGATATTGTGATTAGTTCACTGTCTGGCTCTTCAGAGGTCTAGATCCATGCTGGCTTCTACTTGACAGCCCTGGGGCCCAGCAAAGACCCCAGGGGCCAAAAATTGCCAAGAACCTCCCTCTGTAGCTTGGTTTTAACGAGACGTAGAACGTATAGCTTCTGTTGCACAATTCTGGCCTCAAGCGGCCGTTTGGTGCAACTCTGGGCTTGCCGGAAATCTCCCGACGAGGCGGAGTTGACGGAGAGCACCCCAGGGCCCAAAACCTCCAAGAACCCGTCAACAACCTTTTCCAGAGCGTTACAGAGCGCTTTGGAACGGATCTCAGAGGTCCCTGACTTGTCTCGGCCTGGTTTGATTTTGTCCCTGGCCCTTCGTTTTGCTTCTCTGTTGTGCAGTCGAGAGCCGCGCCAGTCGAGGATGTGGGTCGCCGTGCCCCGCCTAGCTTAGGACGGATGACGCTCCTGAGAGTTTTAATTCAGCACCGACGCTGACGCTGGTATATCCGTAGTCAGAAACTGGCCTAACCTCGGCATCACCCCAACATACTTATACCATATGTGCGTCGCCCCCTAAGGGGCGACGCGCGCACCGAGAAATCTTATAGTGTATGCGGCGTGGCGGGCGCTTTCTGGCCACACCGCTCGGGAAACGATATACTACAAGATGGGCATACTATATGTTGGGGTCGGACGCGCGCCTCCAAGGAGAACATATAGTAGTAGTATGTCCTTGGGGGTCCCATAACCCCGCTAAGTCTGGCTCAATCCCGCGTAATTCAGGCTAATCGGTCCTAACAGTGGCCTCAATCTTGGGCTTCATTTGTACTCAATCGGGCTCAATCGTTCCATGAGTTGCACAGTGGCGGCCCATGCCAAGAAACACCCTGCTTGCCTCTGGGCTGCCCTGGGTTTCTTGGCTTCCGATGGTTTTGCCATGAAGAGCGTGACGTGCCCACACCAGAAACCCATGGACGTCCTGTGGTCTCAGGGTTGGGTCCCTCGTGGAAGGTCTCCTGGGGACCGGCCTCCACTGCATCCTCACCCGGTGCAGTCCCATGGGTGGTCTCCGCCGACCCCAGACCCCCGAGGCGCGTGGACCCCGGACGTCTGGACCCCATGTGCTGGGGCCCGGCTCTCTATCCCCTTAGTCGCTTCTCTCGGAATGCCCCGCGGCCCGGTAGTCGGGGGCGGCGAAGAGGCGGCAGGGCGCCAGAGACGGGGGCACAGCAAACGGGGGCACGGCGGGGAACGCAGATTTCCACGTTTGGCTATGCCCCCGTTCCGGGAGCCCTGGGCGTCGTATAGACGGGTAGATACACTGAACGGGGGCATATGGAATTACACTTGAGAGAAACCGCAATCAGTGGATGGTTTTTGCTGAGGAGGTCGACCGGGAACCCGGGAGCCCGGGAACCCCGAACCCACCGAAATCGGCCGGGAGCCAATCTCCGGGAACCCGGAACCGGGAACCCCGGAACCCAGCCTGCCACCACCAAAATCGGCGGGAATTTTTCGCCAAATCTTGTAACCTCCGCTAGGACCCCGTCAGTGCAAGCACTGATTGGGAGAAAGCCGTCGCCCCCGTTTAACTAAACCCATGTTTACGAAGCCCCGAGGAGGGGCGTGATGACTAGGGGAGGTAAACATCGCGGCGGGGGCCATGACATCTCCCCAGATGCCATTGCGCCTCTTCTTATTCCAGTACGTCCCTTGGTCCCCCCCCTGGGCCGCGCGCACGCCGCCGGCCGTGCTCTGTACCATGCTTTGCACCCCGGGGTACAGAGCATGGCAGAGCAGAGGGGGGGGGCCCTCCCCTCTTGGACGCCCCCCTCTTGGACGCCCCCGAGAACCGGAAATGGCCCAGCGCCGCCGCGATCTCTTTCCCGGCCGCGATCTTTGGGCCCCGCAGGCTGCGCCCTGCTGCCCATGCTGCCCACCAAGAGCGCCAAGGCCATCACGGCCGTGACGATCGTGGCGCTGGGGACGTCGCTCCCGGACACCTTCGCCTCCAGGGCGTCGGCCGTCCAGGACCCCCCGCCGCGGGCCGCCCGCCGGGAGTGGAGGGCCCGGGTCGGGCAGTGCCGAGGCGAGGATCAAGTCGGGCATGTCCCTCGACAGGAGGAGCATTCAAAAGTATTCAAACTATCCTTGCGAAGGACCCAACCATATGCAATTGTGGGTGCCGCAATTGTGAACATTTTCGGTGAAGCTCCCTATGGGGCCACGAAGCGCTGCACTGGGGGGGGACGCATGCGGGCGGTAGCATTGGGCCCGTGGGTGGAGCCCCCCATGGGGTCAGGCAGTGCCGAGGCGAGGATTAAGTCGGGCATGTCGCAGGCAAAAATGGTCAAACAATGATACGGGGACGACTTTCTACTTACTATCTTCGACTATGTTTGGATTTGTTTGTTCTGAGAACAAAACATCGTCCAACATCTCCCTGCAGGAGGACATGCCCGACCTAAGTCATAATCATAACAACTCGGAGGTCCGCGCGGAGTTCTCGGAGCGGCGTTGAACTCCCCTCCTTGGCGCGCGGAGCGCGCCAGGCGCGGCGCCGGAGGCGCCGCTAGGGGTCTCCAGAGCCTGTGCGAGAAATCCGCGCGGACCTCCGAGTTTTTATGGTTATGTCATTGTTCGTTCCCCTCGAGGAGTCGAGGTCCAGATCGGATCGATCGTTCCCTGTTCGATGTCGCTTCCGGCCAGCTCGAGCCGATGCGATGCCGACATATTATTTCGTCGATCCGGGGCGGGCCCGGTTCTTGCGCTGCGCCGCCGTGGTGCACCATGGCGCGGCTGCTTTGAGTCGGGCATGCCCCGCTACCGGAGGAATACTCAGAATATGTTTTAAAAATAGCATCGGGACCACCTTTTTTGCTATTTCCGAGCATTGTTTGGCTATTTGTTTATTTTTGTCCGTCCAAAATCCGCCTGTCGGGGGGCATGCCCGACCCAACGGTTGCTCCGCTTCGATTTCGACCCTGTGCCGATGCAGCCCGATCCGGCGCACCACTTGTGATTCGATGGGATATCCCCAGTCGACGCCGACCTCCGTGCTGCAGTCGGGCGTGTCCCTCGACAGGAGGAATATTCTCGGGGGTGGACAGAACCCCCAACAGTGACACGTCCTTTAGTGAATTGTCCGTCTTCGGTTCTCGAGATGGCGCGGTGACCGTTATTCTTCAGGCTTGCGCCCGCCAGGTTTGGGCCTCAGGTCGTTTTCACTAAACCACGTTTTACTAAAGGGGGTCTGTCCATCCCCGATATTCAAAAATAGTCAAACAATAGTCTGGTGACGATTCTTCTATATTTGTTGACCATGTTCGCTCGTCCGAAATCCGCCTGTAGGAGGACATGCTTGACCTCACCCAGTGCCGAAGCAGCCCGGTTCGACGCCGACTTCGCGGGGGGAAATTCGGAGGCGGTGAAGAGGGGGGTCCCAGACCGTCGTCGCTGGGCCCAGGGCCATCAAAGAGCGACTGGGAAGGGAAACTTGGTCCAAGGGGAAGGGGCCCAGAAGCCGTGAAAGAGTTACGGCTTCTTGGAGGCCTCTTGGGGCGTCCGGGGGGCATGTTGGCGGGCCCATGGCGGGCCCGGGGCAGTTTTTGGGCGTCTTGGTTGCCTCGGGGATTCTCGTGAGGCCTCTTTTGGGAGTCTCTTTGGGGCCTCGTGGAGGCCCCTTGGGCGCCTCTTGGGGCCGTCTGGGCGCCTCTTGGGGCCCTCTTGGGGTGCTCTGCGGGGTTTTAGGGGCGCTCTTGGAGCCATTTTGGAAGAGATCGATCAATTAAGAGGGGAGCTTCAATTAGGGTCCCTCCTCGGGAGCCCAATACATAGTCTCTTAGGGCGCTCTTGGAGCGCGTTTGAGTGCTCTTGGGGCCGTCTTGGAGGCCTCTTGGGACCCTCTTGGAGCCCTCTTGGGCCACCTTGGAGCCATCTGGATGTCTCGGAAGGCTATCGGAAGCGAAACGGTGAGAAAGCAACACACATTGATTTTCTTCCGGTTTTGGGAGGATGTTGGCCTCGGGGAGGCCTCCAGGGGAGGCTCCGTGGCCACCTTGGGCCGTCTTGGAGCTGTCGTGGGGCCCATTGGAGCATCTTGGGAGCGATCTTGCGCTATCTGGAGCCATATTGGAGGCTATCTTGCACTCTCTGGGGCCCTCGTGGAGCCATCTTGGGCCGTCTTGGACGCCCCAACTGCTCGCGGCCAGCCCCGTCCAGGTCCAGGGGAGGAGGTAAGGGGGGGGTAAACCCCTCCCCGAAAAGGAGGAAGGAGGTTGGAAGAGAAACCTTCCTAGATCACCTACGCCCAGAGGGCCGGTGGGATTTCAGAAGGGGCGGCCTTCGAGGGGTGCGTGCAGCGAGAAAATGGGGCCTCTCAAAACAACAACGCCTCCCAGACAACAGATGAGCGGTCTAACACGCCCACTCCGTGCAGGCATGGTGGTGGTGGATATTTGCATAAATTTGCTTACATACGTATGCATGGATCAATGCATCCATTCATAGGTCGATCTGATGTGTATTCATATGTATATACACATATGTATTTAACAGGTCCGTCCTAACCTATCTATCTGAATATACAATTACACAGACACGTAATCATATGTATCTAGTTGTTTCCATATATCGGCCCACCCTTCCACATATCTGTTTACCCATACCTTTATTGATGCGTCCGTCCATACATTTCCATGTGTATATATATATATGTAGTTGTTTGTATGGGCACTGATGTGTCTCACCATCCATCTACCTATATCTATGCACCGATCAGTATCTCTATCGAACCTCGAGGCCTGGAAATAAGAATCAGCGCGCAAATTGCCCGCAGATCGCGCATGCCAGCAATCAGTATACAATGTCTTCTTGGAAGCATTATATTGTAAATCCACACGCGGATTTCATTCGCAATCCGAGTCGCCCACAAAATGACTTTGATATCCTCCGCCCGTCTGGAAAGGATGTTCATTCCAGTCAACGTACCCGTATTCATTATGCAAACCCGACCTCACAATGAATCAAAGTGGATGTAAGTTCGTAAATACCGCAAGAGGAATTCATTTGGAAATCGCCCACAAGAACTCTATTGCGAAGTCGCAACACAGATTTCATTTGCAACGCGAGCAAGGGGAATCGAGTTGACAAACAATTCGATGTGTAATTCACACAAGGCGACTCAAGCTTGTACATCGCCCACGCTATGAACCCAAATGTAAAGCCACGTAGAAGAAATTCAATTGAAATCCAGATGATGGTAGCCAACTTGTAGATCGTCCACAACGTGGATCCTATTGTAGAGCCAGGCAGAACAGGAGTTCGTTTGTAATCCACGCAGTGTGGATTAACGTTGCATCGCCTACACAAGGAATGCTGTATAACCGCGCGACACACATGCGTTTTTGTACTCCAATCAATAAGACACATCTTTAACATCGCCCACAAAAGGATTCCGTTTTAAAGGGAACGAGGAACAATTAGGGAGGGGGCGGGAAGCACATTCGTATTTTTAGTCCACGCAACAGGACACAATTTCAACATCGCCCACAAAAGGGTTCCTTTTGAAAGGGAACGAGAAACACTTAGGGAGGGGGCGGGAAGGAAAAATACAACAATGGAAGCCCCCCGCCCCCCCCGCCCGGACACAAGAAAGCAACGGTGGGGGAATCAATGTTATGTTTTTTGGGGGTTTTATTGTTATGTTTATTTCTTCCCTGATTTTTCCAAGCTTGCTGTCAAACGGGCCATTTGTGTTGGCGATGTCCGAATTGATTCCTACTGTGTTGGTTACAATGATGATATCGCTGCGCGGCTGTACAATAGGATCCCTAGTGCCAGGGATTTTCACATTACTTTCCATTGTTTGGATTACGCGTACAATCCTTTTCTTCGGTTTTGCAGCCAGATTTGTTGTAAGAAAGCTTGTATATGAGCTAGCGCTGTAGAATCTGACTGGCTCTACATTCTTGTAGCGGATCCGTGAAAGTGGTCTGCCAGAACAACACGAAACGCAGCACACAGCCACACAGCATAGAACAACAAAAGAAACAACACGGGAACGCCGAGAAAAGTAGTCGCCATTTTTGAGGCCTCCTGCGCCCGTCTTGGAGCCCTCTTTGGCTTCGAGCAGGTCACGCGAAGAGGCGCGGGTGAGCCGAGGAGGCGCGCGGGAAGCCCCGGCAGAGTCGAGAGTCAGCGGGCCCAGGCCCCTCGACGAATCCGCAGGATCGAGACTTGAGGCTCACGTGATGAGGCAACGGACCTGGGGACACACCAACTCGCGCCTGCGGGCACGGTGGCGCCTTCCTGCTTCCCTTGTCGGCCTCGTGGCCCCCCGCCCGGCTCCTCGGGCGATGCTGCCTGGTCTGGTCCGCGTGGTGTCGAGAGGCGTGGCTCCGGCGCCCATGGGCCGTTCACAAGACTTGCGTGTGTGTGTTGGCCCCACTGGTTGCTTTTTTTTTGTCGCCCTGCGACTCTCACTCGGGTCCGTCTTTAGTTGCCCGCTGTTCCTCTTCCCTCCCCCTCCTTCGACGGCACCCCAACACGTTATGACTATATCTGCGTCGCCCCCCCCCTAGGGCGACGCGCGCACCGAGAAATCTCATAAATATATGTGTCGTGGCGGGCGCTTTCTGGCCACGCCGCTCGGCAAACGATGGTTTGCAAGATGGGTGTACTCTATGCTCGGGTCGGACGCGCGCCTCCAAGGAAGATATGTAGTACCAGTATGTATTTGTGCGTCCCACCCCGCCCTCTTTCCTTGCGTTCTTTTCCCCCTGGGCCTCGTCGCCCGCACGCGGATGGAGAGCGGTGTGCAGTCGTCCACGTCGCCAGCTTTGCCGCGAGATGCGGCTGAGCAGTTGTTTTCGAACGGGCTCGAGGGAGGAGGGAGGAGGAAGGAGAGGGAGGAGGGCGGGAGGAGGGAGAGAGGAGGGAGGAGGGAGGAAAGAGAGGGAGGGAGATTGGAGGAGGAGGAGGAGGAGGAGGAGGAGGAGGAGTAGGCAGGAGCGGGCGTTCTCGTTTGGCACCCGCCCCGTTCACAGGACTCTACGGCCGACGCCAGCATCGGCAATGTTACGGGCAGCAACTCTGTCAACGTTTTTTTGGGGCTCGGGCTCCTGCGGTGGGACGCAACACTGCCCCGCACGGTCAGGAGTTTATCTGCCGCCATGTATCCAGTACGATCGAAATAGGTATGGGAAGAAGGGGGGAGAACTCCCGCAACAGCTCTTGTCCATGTGGACAGGATTCGCAGTCGTCGTCAACGCGGGCGTTTTCAATTTGAGAGAAAAGGCCGCTTGCAAAACAGCGGCCGTTGTCAGTTTTGGGCAATATTGTTTGTTAGGAACCGTGCTATTTTCGTTTGCGCCCTTCTCGGGCGCCAAACATGAGGCAAACGGGTCTGAGGCACAGATCTCCTGTGACAAGAGTCGCCATATCTCCGGTATGTTTTTTGTCAGCCGCCTTTTTTTACTTGATTCAGCTTTCAGGGGCCGTTTCCAGGCACTGGGAGACCTAGAAAAGGATCCCAGATGCAAAACCGTCCCCAGGGAAGCGGCCGGGACTTCTTGGTGCCGCGCATGATATTAAATCACATCGTCGGATGTCTGGATCCTGAGGTTTTGGCAGTTCTGGGGCCCAGGACTGGTCGACAACGACCTGGGACGAAGAGCGTGTCCTGGGGGGAAGGCCCCGGAGTCCAGGTCCCAGGACCGTCTGCTCTGTGCCGGCATGGAGGGGAAGGGTCCCGAGCAAAGCAATGCGTCCGCAACACTTCCGCCAGGGCTCGAACCCTGCCCCCCCTCGTTGGCGCCCTCCCGTCTTCGTGCAGCCTTGCGCGCTCCACGACTTCCGGTCGACTCCTCTGCGCCTTGCCATCCGTAGTGTTTCAACATATCGTGCTCAGCTACGCTGAAGTCGGGCCTGTCCCTCGAGGAGGAATATTCAAAAGTAGGCAGAAAATCGTCAGGCGACTAGCTTTCGATTATTTATCGACTACGTTGGTGTATTTTTGGATATTTTTTTTTCAATTTGTCGCCCAAGCTCCGCCTGTAGGAGGACGCGCCCAACCGACAGCTACGCGTAACAGACGGAGGCTCCCCATCCCCTGAGATTGATCAGTTGCTGCACGGAGGTGAGGCTGATGCATGAGCGACGTAAACTCAACACTGTGGCCGTCTGCACCGACACTTGGCGCGCAAGTATTCAAGTCGGGCCTGTCCTTCTACAGGGGGAATGTTCAAACATACATTATACATAAATAACTCAAAACCTAGTGCGGAGTATGGGGACGACTTTTTTCCTATGTTTGAGTATCGTTTTGGCTATCTTTTATTTTTCCGTCCAAAATCCACCTGCAGGGGGGCATGTCGAGGCACGGCCCCCGACCCGTGACCGGTGGTTCATCCTGCGTCGCTTCGCGGACGGTCCCCGGAGGCCCGGGAGGGGCCCCCAGAGGCCGAGCGTTATGGCAAGTTTCCGGTGCCGATCTTTGCGAGGCGGAAGTTGGCTTCGGATGCAACTCCTGGGAGGTCAAATTCAAATTTTGCCCTGGTCCGAAGTCTGGCTAAATCCGGCTGAATCCCGCTTAATTTGGCTTAACCCCGCTTAATCCGGCTTAATCCTGCCTAGTCCGAGGCCCACTCCGGCGTAACAGCTCCCAAATGGGGCTTAATCTTTTTTGATCCTTCCGACGAAGACCTCCCAGTAGTTGCCTCCTAATGGCCGGGCCCAGGATCGCTGCACGCGCCCTCCTGGCTCAGCCAGGGAGGCGCAGGTGCCGAGCTGTGGCCTCCCGATCGGCCCGGCCACGATCGTTGAGGTTTGGGGCGGTTGCCGACGCACCTTGATTCAAGCAGTGGCGAACCGTCCTGGTTCGCCTATAGCCCTACCAGAGAATGTTCTAAAAACCTTTTGTGGTGTCGGCGAAATGTTCTTAGAACATTTCTGGCTGGGACTGTCATGGTTTAACACATCGGGTCGATGTTCTAAGAGCATTGTTGTTGTTGGTGGTGTTGTTGTAACATTTGTTGGTTCTAAGAACATTTCGAGGGAGGACTATAGGAATGCTGCGACGGTCGGTCCCTCTGCTCAATTGAGGGGGCACGCTCGCTTGTGTCGACCACACGTCAGAGTGGCCCTTCGCCTTTGTGACTTCTCCAGACGAGCCCGCCACGTGAACAAAAAGTGAGTACGGGAGGTTCTTCACGGTTGCGAGCCCCGTTTTTGGTCCCCAGGAGCGTCAAAAAGTGGCGTGGGATTGAAACGTTTGCCTTGGGTGCGGACAAGATGTATATCCATATCCGTTGCGTCTTGGATTTTTTGGGAAGGAGCGCCAACAAGGCGAGGTGCACTGGATATTGGTAAATGTCTAGCGTCTAGGGGCCAGATTCTTATCCACATCCACTGCGCCTCTGGTTTTTTAGGGGGAGCCGAAGCTCCAAGATGTAGTGGGCATGGATATACGTCTTGTCCGCACAGAGGTAAGGGGTCGGGATTTCAGTGGGCCGCGTTCTGAGAACATCGGGGCATCGCATGTCTCAGTCTGTCGACCATCCGTAAGAAGTCGTACGAGTGGCCCTTCACCGTCGTGGCCTCCGGTGCGGGCCCATGGCGGTCGCTGGTTGCGGGTCCCCCGACCGCCGAGCGCGATGCGACCGCGGCGGCTTTCTCGCTCGGGTTTGCCCCCCCCCCCCCCCCCTTCCTCCAGGACCTAGGAGGGCTATCAAGAAAAACCACGCCCTCGACATCTAGATTCTGGTCGAGGTTTGAGGCGGTCCAGGTGAGTCTATCGAAGTCTGGGGCCTCCCTGGAGGGGTGGGAGGGGCACGAAACCATGTAAATAGTATGGTATGGTATGGTATGCTATGGTACGCCATGGTATGGTATGGTACGGTATGGTACGTATGGTGTGAGGGAGACATTGCTCAGCACTCCAGAAGGCCACGGGTCCGCGCCCCCCCGGAGCCTCGCACCACCTCTCGCCATAGCGCCATAGCTCCTCCTCCTCCTCCTCCTCCTCCTCCTCCTCCTCCTCCTCCTCCTCCTCCTCCTCCTCCTCCTCGGAGCATTGTCCGTTCTCGGTTCTCGAGAGGGCGCCGCGGCCGTCACTCTCTCCAGGCTGGCGCCCCGCCAGGTTTGGGCCCGAGGCCGTCTTCACGAAGCCACGTTGTACCAGAGGGGGATCTGTCCATCCCCGAGTGATCTGTCCCATGTGCGGCCCCGGAGTTCCCCAGCCCCTCTCCGGGGCCAGCGCTTCCTCCCGGACCCTTCTTCGATGGCCCCGTGGCCCAACAGCGAGCCCCAGAGGCCGACATGAAGGGCGCCGAGACTGGAGCGATCACGTCGTCGGAGACACATGGGAAGGTCACTCGGAGGAGACCGAGTGGAGACGGTGGGAGTTGGCCTTCTGGGGCCCCCTCGTCCCCATGGCTGGACGCAGCTCGGAAAATTCGTGCGATTTGACCTTGGGGGGGTCTCGGAGACCGATTTTGCATTGCCGCTGTCTCAATTCGTCCTGTTCCGAGTCGCGCTTGCATGTGAGCATCAGTATCGTTTAACCGATCCCCATCCCCATCCCCATCCCCTTCGAGACCCCCACCAAACTACCCGCCAGTTGGGGATGCACCCCTCGAAACCCGAAGGGAACGGCCTATAGCCCCATCTAGGGGGGCGAATCGGCCAGTGGGGCCCAGGCCACGCTGCTGGGGATGGGGATCGTTTAAACGATACCCAGAGCGATGCAGACAAACGGATTATGATGCTCCCCTACTTTAGCCTGGAATACCAGGAAGAATTTCGAGCACCAGTGAAAAGAACCGAAACTCGAGGGTTTTCGCGTGTCGGGTCCTGGGAGACACTCGTTCGACACTGTTTCGACCCTTTTTCGACACTTTTCCGGGTGCTCGAAATTATTTCTGGGATATGGTCATTAAGCACGATGGGAGCAATATAACAAACGGGCTCGTCTTCACCGACACTGGCGCGTGAGTTGCCCGCGTCAGGTCGCGCGCGAGCGCCCTCGCTTCCAATGCAGCGTGCCGCGCTGGCGGCGCCCGCGTGCGCTGCGACGTCGGGTCGCTGTGCCATCTCGCGTCGCACCCGTCGATGCATCTGCAGACAAGACCCCTTCGTCCCTAATTCCCCAATCAGTGCTTGCACTGAAGGGGTCCTAGCGGAAGCTGGAAGATGTGGCGAAAGTTTCCCGCCCAAAGGTCCCCAATGTTTCTTTTCTGCCCCGTCTAATTTAGGTCCCCTCCCAAAGGTCCCCACTCACCAAACCACCCCAACCCACACGAAATCCTCAATTTGCCCTCCATTTCCAGTGGGCTGGGGAGCATAGAACACACACACATGGAATTCCTACCCCCACCCAACCCGAAACTCGGGCCTTCGGGTTGGGTTGGGGTTGTCTGGTAGGTAGTCAAGAGGGTAGATCAGGGGTGCTGCTCGTGCCAGTCAGCTGCCCTCAGGCTCCCCTGGATGGTCGGCGCCCTGGATTGTTTTTTTTCTCTGGTGCAACATGTTTTTTTTGTTGGCCCTCCCGGCTCGGGTCCCCTCCCAAGGGGGAAATCAGGGGTGCTGTGGTCTTGCTGCAGTCCTCTGCCCCCCCAGGCTCCCCTGGATGGTCGGCGCCTTCTACTGGAAGCTGCCCGGGGCTCGGCGCGCTCCCCCCCTCCCTCCCCCCGGCGCTGCCCGGCGGCGGCAGCCCTCGCGGGCGCAGAGCACACCGCGGGCCCGTGCCGGGTCTCGGGCCGGACGGAAAGGGGGGGGGGGGATTGGAAATATCGGGGCTCCCTTGACCTTCCAGAGAGCGATGCTTCAGCACTGGAGGCCTAAAAACCTAGAGGACGAAACGAAACAGCCTAAAACCAAGACGTATAATAGCTCTGGGATGGGTTTTTAAGTCGGGTGCCATGTTTTAGCCCTCCTGGAAGGTCAGGGTCAAGAGACGGGGGTCACTGCAAGCGGGGGTCAGCCAGGGCACTGGATCCTGCAGGATCCTGTGAAGACCCCCTCTGGCGGACCCGGGTCAGCGAGCCGCGAGGCGGCCGCGCACATTGGTTGACCCGGGTTTGCGAAGACCTGCGTTGCAGTTTTTTTGCCTGCATTGCAGTTTTGTTCGTTTCCTGCTGACCCGGGTCTGGATTGACCCGGGTCAGAAGATCCCCGAGGGAAAGGGGGGGGGTACGAAATTTGTTGCGTGCAGCTGGTTTCAGCCCCACAGAGGAGCCCATTTTTTATATATATATATATATACATATATATATATATACACACATTTATATATACATACATACATACATACATACATACATACATACATACATACATACATACATGGGCGCCTCCGGCGCCGGGAGTCGCCGGGAAAATCAGCTATACGCGAGCGGATTCTCAACCCCCCCCTTTGATATCCCCCCTTCTCGCCCGGCCCGAGGGTCGACCCTGGCGCTGGCTCTCGACACCGCGGCGATCGTTCCACCTTGATCGATCGGCTGTTTCCGAAACGTCAGGTGATTTCAACATCGACCGATTCTACGTCCCGGGCGGCGCTCAGCGTTGGAGCGCCGGCGGCACGGTCGCCGCCAGTCGGCACGACGCGAACGCATTTTGTCCTCGCGGGCCGAGCCTTTGGCCGCGACCCCGCGGATGCGGAGCGTTTTTTGTTCGCGGATGCCCCGCGCGGAACGTATCCGTGCGGCTGCGTTCCGCGGGATCGTGCCCCTGAATGCAGACCGCCTGCCACGGCAGGGGAGGAGGAGGAAGAGGAGGAGGAGGAGGAGGACCAAGAGCAGGCGGAGGAAGAGGAGGAGGCGGAGGAGGAGGACGACCCAGAAACCAGAATCCAGACAGCGAGGGGCAGCCTCGCTGCCTTTGGGCCCGCGCCCCTGGAGTTTTTCGGTGCATGAAGCGCAGACGGCGTTCGATCCCCTGAGGGCGGATCTTTCGTCCCCCCGCCGCGTGAATTGACCCACCCAAAATTTTCGGCGCCTGCGGCGGGTTTCTTTTGCATTCGTTCCAGGTGGAGAGCTTGCGACCCACCCGCGACCCAAACCGCGCCCGCGACCCACCCGCGACCCACCGCGACCCACCTGCGACCCACCCGCGACCCACCCCGCGACCCACCCAAAATTTTCGGCGCTTGCGGCGGGCTTCTTTTGCAGTCGTTCCAGGTGGAGAAACTGCGACTCACCCGCGACCCAAACAGCGTTCAATGTACAAATCAAAATTTTCGGCGCCTGCGGCGGGCTGTTTTTGAATTCCTTCCAGGCGGAGGTGGAGAGCCCGCGACCCACCCGCGACCCAAACTACCTTCACTGAACAAGCCAAAACTTCGGCGCCTGCGGCGGGTTTCTTTTGCATTCGTTCCAGGTGGTGAACCTGCGACCCAAACCGCGCTCAGTGTACACATCAAAAATGTTCGGCGCCTGCGGCGGGCTGTTTTTGAAATCCTTCCAGGTGGAGGTGGAGCGCCCGCGACCCACCCACGACCCAAACTACGTTAACTGAACAAGCCAAGCGGACGAGGAAAAGGAAGATGAGGAGGAGGAGGAGGGCCCCATCGACAGGGAAGGTGAGGGCCACGAGGTCCGCCGGCTCGACGCCCGCGTCGCCCGCGCCCGCCCCCTCACTCTTATCCGCAATTGCTGGGTGCTACGTATCCCTTCCACTGGCCTACATTGTCAGTTGGTTATGGTCTTTGCCACAAGGGTTTACCCCGTCGCTCAGATTTTCGCTTTCGCCCCAGCGCATACCTCAATCCTGGATCCGAGTCCTTGTCGATCGTCGTCGCCCCACTTCTTTTCCCTCCTCCGCCTTCCCCTTGCCATCCTGCTTCTCCCCCTCCTACCCCTGCTCTTTTTGCTGTTCCTGGTCGTCATCCTCCTTCCTCATCCTCATACGTTTCCTCCTGCTCATCCTCTTGCTCATCCGCCACCCTCTTCTTTCAATGTGCACAATTCCCCTGTTCCGATTTCGCATAACATGATGGTGTCATGTTATGGGTTCCAGGTTCCGCATGACACCCGCGGCTGGATAAAGATGATACATCGGCGCCACGTGAAGGGATTGGAGGGAGGGGTAGGACGTCAGATATGGCGCGAGCTCAGCTTGCTTGCCCTCTCCCCCTCCCGCCTCCGCTTCCCGCCCCCCTCCCGAGCCATCCGAGGAAAGGGGTGAACCTCGACGATCCGACGGACCCGTGGGTCATGACGGGCACCGAGGTCGGCTGGCTGGACAACCCAGACATGCACATCAGGGAGAGATATCCAGGAGGGACGCTTTTTGCGCCCCCCCGTTGGAGGACGATGGAGGCTGGCGCTGAGTGGGGGGGGGAGGCGGGATAGGGAGATGGGATGAGGAGGATGAGGAAGAGGAGGAGAAGGAGGAGGAGGAGAAGGAAAGGGGGGATGTCAGAGGCCGAGGAAGGGGAGGATGAGGTCAGGGCGAGTCTCGAGCAGGGGATCGACTGCAGATTGATTGACCCCAGAGTTGATTTCCTCGTCGGGGTTACGAACAAGCACATGCATAATGCTCGTAGCTCTCCAAGGGACATTCTACAGATTTGTGTTGCTAGATTCTGCGGGCACTTTTATTTTGGGGTAAATCAATTCTGTAGTCGATCCCCTACTGAGTAGGGGCTCGACTACAGAATTGAGTAGGGGTCCTGCTCGAGAGTTGAGGCAACGGTAGCTGGCCTTCGAGGGACCTCTTCGTCGCCACGACTGGACGCAGCTCGGGAAACTGGTGCGTTTGGCCCCGGGAGGGGTCCGGGGACCGATTTTGACTTGCAGTTGTCTCAGTCTGCATTCTTTTCGAGAGGCCAGGGGCCGCAGAAGCGATGCGGCTCCTCCTGCTCCCCGTCGGTCTCTCCTCCCCGCTCAACCACACAGCCGGTCTCGTGTTGTGCCATGGTATTCGGGGGCCTTGAGACGGGGGTCAATGCTCGGGTTGACCGAAAAGGGGATCCAGCGACAAGGAGGTGGTGCAATAAATTTGGTGCAACAGATTCTCGGGGTTGCAATACATTTGGGGCGTGCAATACATTTCGGGGCGCAGCAATACATTACTTGCAATACAATGCAATACAATTCTCCGGCGCAGTACATTTGCAAGACAATTGCCCCAAATATGCACCACCCCTTTTCAGCTGGACCCCCTTTTGGGCCACCAAAATTCGAACGAGGGCCAGTCAGAGTGCCGGGTCTTGCAGGATCTTGCAGGGCCAGGGTTGCACTGACCCGGGTTAGCGTGCAGGATCCTGCAAAGCTTGATTGCCCGGGTTTGGATCGACCTTGGTCAGTGCATCCCCGAGGTATCTCTGTTCGAACCACACGGTGAAGGCTAATGGAGTGTAAAGGTACAGCCCAAGTATGGAGTCTAATAGCGCACGCCTGCATTATGGGGTTGTCGTACGGGCATTGCGTAGCTGCTCCGTTCTCCGATTCTTCAGTTTTCGCAGAATTTGTATCATCACAAGTAGGTATGGCGTTGACAGTCTGGCATTTCGTGGAGGAGGGGAGGAGGAGGAGGAAGAGGAGGAGGAGGAGGAGGAGGAAGGCGGCAGAATGAGTTCTCATCATACTCGGTAACCCCTTTGAGATACATGCAGATGCCAATGGGGATTCAGGCATGGTCCTCACCGTTACAGGCAAACTGTGGAAGCCATGCTTGTATTCGCTGTCCAGTCTCAGCTCGCTACCGGTGGGGGAATTGGATACCCAGGGGTGGCGGTGTGGGCAGTCGTAGCTTTCTCGTGCGAGTGAAGCGGCATTCTGCCTGTGCATGCGAGGCCACGTGAGCGCAGGTTCTGCAACACGCACGACTTGCGGGTGTGCTTGTGTGCGTGCGCGGGGGACGCGGATAGGATAACATTGAAAACATGTAAATGGGGCGCAAACGGCTGGAACCGTTTTTGACGCCGGCTTGGCGCAAACTGCTTTAACCATTTGACCGCCGGTTGCGCCGCAACTGTTAGTGAAACAGGGAACCACCGCCATGCAAAAACACAATTGCGGCAACAAAAACCCTTCTCGTCGATGTGAGAGATCATGCATCAGCTCTCTGTGTGTACACCTGGCCATGTTGACATGCTCTATGCCCAGATGTCTGTGTGAATGTGTCAATTGGACCTACGCGTTGTTGACGTCCAGATGTACAGCCAGTCCCACGTTATTGCGCATATGGATTCAGATCTGGATCTATGCGCATTCGCGCTCTCGTGCACCCGCGCATTGAGTGTGCTGATGTCTGTGCAAGTGTCCCACTGCGCGCGGGACACCTGGATTTGGTGTATTGGCCAGCTTCTTTCTGGGCAACATCGCCAAACATCATGACTGGAGCTCTGGCTCCCATCCTTGTGTAGCATTTTTCGAGCGGGATCGATTGGTGATGGTCCCGCGGGGACCCGAAATTTTTGGTAGGTGGATCTCTCAAGCTCTCCGCCGCCTCTGGCGGTGTGCGTTGCGAGCGAGCAGGAACGCACTCAAGCCACAGGAAAGCGCGGCATTGACAGTGTATCTCCGCACGCGCGACAAGTGCTATAACGAGCAGGAGCACAGCAAAACCCCTGCTCGCAACGCACACCGCCCGAGGCGGCGGAGAGCTTGAGAGATCCACCTACCAACAGGGCGACAACGCCCGGCGCGAAACACAAGTCCAACGGCCGCGTTCCCTTCAAGTGGTCCCCGGAGCCCGCTTCTCTCTTGCGCGGCGCGGACGCGCTCTGGATCGGGTTGGCCCAAAAAGGGGTCCAGCGACAAGGGGGTGGTGCAACAGATTTGGTGCAATAAGATTGCCGCAAATCTATTCCACCACCCCCTTCCAGCTGGACCCCCGTGTGGGTCACCCGGATCTGGAGGCCCCCAAATCTCCGACGCCCGTAACCGGGCGGAAGCGCCCGGCGCGGAAAAATGCACAGCCCGGATCTCAGGGCCGATGCAAGGAATCTGCGCGGAGCTCAGAAAGTGCAATTACTCGGGAGTGGACAGAACCCCCACCAGTGACACCTCGATTAGTGCATTGTCCGTTTTCGGTTCTCGAGAGGGCGCCGTGGCCGTTATTTTCCAGGCTTGCGCCCGCCAGGTTTGGGCCTCAGGTCGTTTTCACTAAACCACGTTTTACTAAAGGGAGGTCTGTCCATCCCCGACAATTACGTTGATGACGGTGCATCTTCGGGGGGCCTCGGGAGTCCCTCACATTGGTGTCTTTTCTTGTGCCCTACGCGGGCTCGATGCGGGCTCGACGCGGTTTTGGCGTGGATGCGACGCGGACTCGACGAGTCCGACATGGATCCGACAGATTCGACGCGGATAGGGGCGCGACGCAGAGGCAACATACAGTCGGCCCTGATTAGTAGGTCGACCTTTTTGCTCAAGGGTGCCTTTGTGTCCTGTGCCTCGCGACACGTGCCTCCTTGTACTCCTATGGCGATGCGGCCTTCGGAAGGGTCTTGTGTCCGCTCGCGCTTCCTCTCCAATCAAGTCCGACTGCAATGCTTCTGCGCAGTTTCTCTGATATCATCGGACCCTCAAAAGCTGGGCGAGGGCTGCCAAAACCGTGGCTGCTAAAACGACCCTCCCGGAAGGAAAAAACAACTTCCCGGAATGAGGCGCGGCACGCGAAACAGTCACCGGGCTTCTTCCCGGAAGGACGAAAACAACTTCCCGGAGGTCGATTTCAGCAGCCACGGATTTAGCAGCCCTTGCCCGGCTTCCGAGACATGAGCACAGCGCTCGGAAGCTTGCATTCGCGTGGCTCGGGCCGTGCTGGCGTCTTCGAGCTCGGCCGCCGCGAGACGCGGGAGCGGGCACCTGGACAGGGGCCACCCGAGTCTCGGGCGCAAGCGGGTCTTACAGTAGAGTTAAGTCGGGCGTGTCCCTTTGCAGGAGGGATATTCAAACATAGTCAAGAAATAGTCTGGGGACGAATGTGTGTGTGTTTTGAAATCATTTTGGGGCATTCGCGTGGTATTTGTTATTTTTCGTCCAAAATCTCCCTGTAGGGGGACAGGCCCGACTTCAACGTAGAGACCCATGCCAAGAGAAACACCCTGCTTGTCTCCAGGGCGCTCTGGGCTCCTGGGGCTCCGATGGTTTTTCTTCCTTGGACAGCGTGACGTTCCCGCGCCAAAAATCGACGGACGTCCTGGGGTCCTCTTGGGACTGGGTGTCCTGTGGGAGGCCTCTGGATGGGCTGGCGCTGCATATATACCACGCGCCCCGAGCCTGCTTCGTCGTGCCTGCGGGATCGCTCGGCAGCTGCGTCATGGTCTTCTCCGTCACGGCCGTGTCCACCGTCGGCATCCTCATGGCTCTCCGGCGCGCGCTCGCCTGCTCGGCGGCGAAATCCGAGCCTTGCAGTGAAGGCCCGTGCCGAGAAGCACCCTGCTCGCCTCCAGGGTGCCTAGGGTTTCTCTGGGTTTCGATAGCTTTTGTGCTATGGGAAGCGTGACGTTCCCCACACCAGAAGCCGGCGGACGTCCTGGGGTCTCAGGGTTGGGTTTCGTGTGGGAGCTTTCGTGTGGACTGGCCTCCACTGTGCCCTCGCCAATCTACGATTCGGGCATCTCGATGGGCGGCGGGGGCGGCGTTCGGAGTCAATCGAACAAGCTGCCAAATCCGATTCCTACCCCCGCCGCCCATCGGTTCAGGAGAGCTGATGGCTGGCGGGTGTAATGTTCGGATGTCGCCACCCCTCTGCTCGACCTTCGGCGCAGGGCTCGTGGTGGGGCGCGCGCACTCGCGAGCGCGCCAGCTGCCATCCCCAGACGGGCTCGCGTCGTAAAAACAAAACAAGACGGGAGGCTTCTGGCCGTTTTCGGCCTCCAGGGGGGGGGGGGGGGGGCGAATTTGGGCAGAATGCGTGACTTGGCGAACCATGTGTATCTTTACCACCATGCCGAAAAGCATGCGTTCCACGCAGACCCAGATATTGTACCTTGGACTATTTTGGTTCTCGTGGGGGGCACCATAAGGAACACGTGTTTGAGACAAGCAATCGGAGGTTGATAGACCTCCTACCCTGACACGTCGATTAGCGAATTGGCCGTTTTCGGTTCGCGAGGGGACGTCGCGGCCGTCACTTTTGCGGGTCCAGGTCCGTCGGTTTCGGTCTTAGGCTGTTTTCATTAAAGGGTGGTTTGCTAAAGGGAGGTGTGTCCACCGCCGAGGCAAGCGGCCTTCCGCGCAAAAGTGTAATGGATGGATGCAAACAGATGGCCTATCAAGTCAACTGGTTTGCCAACTGCGGACCGTGTTCCAAGCCGTGGTGGAAGGCCTTTCAAGGTAATTGCAAAATTTCGGTGTGGAACCAGGTTGTTACCCCAGACATACATTACATGCGCAATGAACTCTTGCGCAGCATAGCTTCAATGGCAGAGCGAGCCATGAGAGCCACGCGAGGGAGCAGGAAGTGGTGGGCGAACACCTCTCCTGCGATTGTTCATGCAATTGCTTGGCTCGGAAAGCGGAGCATCCATGCAGTGCCTATTGACAAGGATGGCGGGTTCGTATTGGTACCGGCGCGGGAGTTGAAAGTTTTCTTATCAGAAAAGTTGGTTTCGTCACTATGCATCGAGACTCCAATCCCCATCATCAGCACGATAATCGATGATCATTTGGGTTTGATGGGGAAGCTCGGAAAAGCCATGGGTGAACAGGATGTCAGAGAATACGCTTACAAATGTGCGGTCCAAGGCAATCTGATGAAATTAGTTAGCATGCTTGTGTATAAGATCAAGGCACGGAAGCCTCGTGGTCAGGTGACCTGCCGTGTGATCCGTTCAGGCAGGCTGCGCACGTTTGGTGCAGGGAGCGGCATCGTTAGAATCGTGCTGTCCAGGTTACATCAGCACTCTGCCACACCCGATCAAAAACACGGACAGCTCGCTCCACCGCCTCAGGGGCCGCACGTTCCCGACCACATGCGAATTTTCGTCAAGCTTGGCATCACAGATTCTTATCTCATTGGTGATCGTTCTGATATGGTAAACACCGTCAGGCGTTTGTTCCCATAGAATTGCCGTCGTGAGTTGGCTAATGTGTTGAATTGCATTATGTTATTCAAATCTGTGCAAAGCTCTCTGCTGGATGAATGCGACAATTATTGTTAGAAGGTCGCAACAGGCAGTGTAACCGGCCAGAGTCACAGCGGTGAACTGGCCGACACGTACATCCATTTGCTTGCGGAGCAGACATTCGCAATGCATCGTCGTCAGCTGCAGCAGCAATATCAAACATTGGAATCTGTGCGTTACCGAGATGACATTTTTGTAGTTTTCAACGACAGAGCCTTATCTAGACAACGGTTCAGGATATTCAAAGCTAAATGTGGGCACGTGCACCAAATTCGTGTTGATGATTTTGGGACACGTGTAATGCTGGATGTCACAATTTACAAAAGGCCCGCAGTTTGAAGGCTCTGGGAGATTATCAGTGAAGCCGTACGTCAAAGCGACGTCGCAGAAGATCCCCCCCAGCCCATCTTCGAACCACCCTGAGGGCGTGCGCAGAGGTTGGCCAGTTGCAGAAGTCATGCAACTGAAGTCGCGTAGTAACACACGCCCGATCTTCAGGGAAACCCAGCAGGCCATGCTGGAGATATTCTCGCATTATGGTTTGTTGAAGACAGCCATCGTCCAGGCTGCGCAAGTGGATTCCCAAGGCCGTGGCGTGGAAAACCGCGACATGCCACCAGCCGCCTAGTCAACCAAGACATTCTGGTTAAGGCTTCCGTCCAGCAATGTCCTGTTTAGCAGTTTGTTGTGCCGTCGTCTCAATGCCATTTAGGAAAAGTAGGCCCCTAGAGTGCGTAATTCAATGGGCGTGTTAGCCGTGATGGCTTAGCAGGCGCAGCGCTCACAGGCCCCAAGGCTCCTCTTCTGGCTACCGGAGGAGGCGCGCCAGTAGTTTTGGCGCGGTGCCACAGATATAGAGATCGCCGGTCGAGGTTGAAGGTGTCACATTGCAGTGAATTTGGGGGAGCCCTGGGTTTCTTGGATTTCGATGGTTTTGCCATGCGTGATTCCCCCGCACCCAAACTCGATGGACGTCCTGGCGTCTCAGGGTTGGGTTTCGTGTGGAAGGTTTCTTGTGGACTGGCCTCCACTGTACCCTCGCCGAAGGTTTCTTGTGCACTGGCCTCCGCTGTACCCTTGCCGATCTACGATTCTGGCATCTCGATGCGCGGCGGGGGTGGCGTTCAGAGTCAATCGAACAAGTTGCCACACCCGATTCATACCCCTGCCTGTATGTAGCGTTTTGTTATATCGCCCTCGTGCCTATTGTTTGTTGATCAACGAGCATATTTGTGTAAGTGTTCGCTCGTGCTTCTGATTTCAACTATTGCGCCGAGAAGCCCAAACCCAACAACCATAAGGCAACATGTTGTATCACCTTCTCGCCTTTTCGTTCCCGATTGCTTTCCAAGGCTTCAAGATGGCTCTGCGAGGGCTCGATAATGACCTAACAGGGCTCCACGACGGCCCCAAGAACGCCCCACGAACGCTCCAATAGAGGCCCGATTGGAGATGTCGAGGGCTGTAGAGGGAGGCGCTAATCAGGGCCTTCCCTTCTCTGATCGGTCTCCTCCTACATGGCCGAAGTTCGGCCCCCGAGTTTTTCAGGTGGGCCCCAAGATGGCCCCAAGAGCGCCCCACAGGCTTCCAACCTGGCTGCAAGCCAGCTTCTCAAAACACCCAAAAACGCCAATGTAAGGTTCCACGAGGTAATTACTCGATCTCAATCAGGGGCAACTAATGCGCCCCGCCCCCTCCTCCTCCTTCTCCAACTCTTCCGCCTCTTACTCCCCTCCTCTTCCTCCTCCTCCTCTTCCTCCTCCTCCCCCTCCGCCCCCCCCCCCACCTCAAGTCCTTTTCCGTCCTCTCGCTCCTCCTCCTACCGAGTGTGCACCAGCAGCTGAATGAGAGCCTCACAGACAACGACCGCGTTCCATCATCATCATCATCATCATCATCCTTATGCTCCTCTTCTTCCTCCTCCTGCTCCTCCTCGTCCTCTTCCTCCCTTATTATCTCTCTTCTTCCTCCTCACATTCCTCGTCCTCCTCCCGCCTCCTCATCCTTGTCCTCCACCCTTTTCTTGGTTTTTTGGTTAGGCTGTTTCGAAACTGCGGCCCGAATTGCTTCCCAAACTTCCAGTTCCACTGCATGCTCCCCCACTTCCGTGGTCATAGCATACTGCCTGGGCATAGATTTGGGATGTGCTGGCGTCGATACGCGAAGCGTCACGAGCTTTTCACCGGAGAACCCCATCAAGTGGATTTTTTCGCATGTGCCTGATCCTCCTCCTGCCTGTTCTCCCCATACATCTCCTCTCGCTCCTCGCCAGGGCAAATCGATTTCCTTTTGCGCCAACGCGGCCACGGGCAGCATGGGCGCGTCTTCCGATGGCCGGATCGCGAAGCCTTTGGGGCAGCCCCGCGGGCGAGGTCGTTAGGACAACCCCGCGAGCCTTTGCGGCGCGGGGGCCAACCGTTGGGACAATCCCGCAGGTCTCGAGCTGATCGCGGCCGCACTCAGGCGGGAGGAAGCTTGAAGTCCAGCTCTGCCGCGAGTTGCTCCGCCTGATCCCTGGTGTTCACCGGCTCTCTTATCGAACTCCGGGGACGGAGCGCTTGTTGTTATCGCGCAGCGGCCGGGAAGATGGTATTCAACGCTTCGGCGGTGAGGAAAAATATCAAGCGAAACGCTCGCTTTGCAAGCAAGTCCTGACATGAACGGGAATCGCGTGAAAACGCAAAGTTGTGCGAGGACGCGCAGCATTATCAATCAAGTGTAATGTAAGCGAGATTATTGAGTATCTTCCTCACTCCTCTGCGTTCCTCAAGTTTCTTCCGTCTCTCCCTCACTTTCGTCGTGATCGTCATCATCAACGTCGACGCCATCACCGTCCAAGAAATCAGGGCCCATGGGAGGTATTCGATGCTGAGGGGTGCCGGAGACCCGATCGGATGATGACGCCGACGCCGACCACGATGGCGATGAGGGGGTGCACCGAAGGCCCAAATTTTCGATCCTCGGCCCTCGAGGCTTGGAAAGTTCGAACTTCGTCGCGAAACCCGGGAAGTAGTTGTGAGGATGTCAGAGGCGGAGCGTTCATTTCGAATATGATACGTCTTAAACGATGGCTCAAACCATCTCGACTTTGAATATTGTCGCCACCGAGACTGTGCTTTTGCAGACTTTTCATGGCACGATGGGGTAGCGCGCGAAGCGAAAACAGTGCAAGATCACCCCCAACAAAAACTCCACAACCCTCCATCTATCCGAATACCTCCACATTTGTCCACAA